TATTAATAATAATAATAATAATAATAAACAACCAGCTTGGGAAGGCCAAACGATCTGGGTTGGGGAAGGAAGAGAGAAAGAAAACAGCCCATTCCCATTCATATTTTACTTTTTAAAAAAATTTAGAATGAAGTCCCGTTGAGTTCCGCAGGATTCTCTTCCGACCAGGCTGCAAGCAATTAAATAAATGGCGATAGGGCCCCCTTCCAAAACATTTCAACGTTGTCTCTAGAAACATTTCGGCTGCACCTCTCTCCAAAGATGCGTTTCCTGGCAGATGCGCCCCACTGAACGGACCGGCATTTCCGAAAAAGATCGGGAGGGGGGGGGACACACACACACTCGATGCCCCTTTCCTGGAAGCGCTCGGTGGTTCCGCCGAGGAGCAGCCGGCGGTGGTTGAAACTGAAGGCTCGAGCATGGCAGCTTCGCCTGGGCCGCGCTGAGCTTACAACCATGTGGAAGGCAATTGGAGTGGGGGGGACAGAGAGAGAGAGAGAAAGTGGAAAGCGGGAAGGGCGAGGAGGAGGGCAGTCCGGGCGAAGGGGAAAGGTGAGCAGCGAGAGAGAGAGAGAGAGAGCAGAGCGAGAGGCAGCAGCGGTTGGGGCAAATGCGGGCTGGGGGAGTGTGCAGTGGCCGGTGAGAAACGGCAGGAAGACGGATTGGGAGGCAGGCTGGAAGCGGACGGTGATGGGTGGGGGGGAGGGAAGGTGAATCGGGAAGGGTGCAAAAAGAGAACAGGCTGGGATTAGGGGAGGGTACCTGGGTAGAGGAGAGAGCCGGGTAAGAAAGGCAGCGAGGTCCCAGCTCAGCCCCTAGGCAGGAGGAGGAGGAGAAGGAGGAGCGGCGGCGAGGGCCCCCCCTCCCCGCCGGGAGGGTCCTTTAGGAAGCAGCCCAAGGATGCCTCGCTTTGCCTAGCGCCGGCTGGCAGCATCTCCCTTGGTGCCACCTTAAAAGTTTCTCTTCGAGGGCGGAGCAGCCCTTCCCCCCGCAGACCGCCGATTGGCCAGGGAATGTATCCATTGTGGAACGTTGACGCCCGCCGCGTTCTATCCCGAGTGTAGCCACGTTCGGTTGAGCCGGGGGCAGCCGCGGTGGCGGCAGCGGTAGGAGCAGCTGGGAAAGGAGCGAAGAGCCGAGGACTGGGGCAGGGCGATGGGGTCGCGGCCGGGGCTTTGACAGCTGCAACCCAAGGCGAGCGGTGCGGCCACAAGCGGAACCCGGGCCGGCTCCAGCCGAGGAAAGGCGCGAGGTTTGGGAGACGGGAAAGCATCGGAGCAATTCAGGCAGCGGCGGCGGCGGCAGCGGCAGAAGCAGCAGCAGCGGCGGCGGCAGCAGCAGCGGCAGCTTTAGTTTCGCCTCTTTCTTACTGCGGACCATGTTCGCTAAAGGCAAAGGCTCGGCGGTGCCCTCGGATGGGCAGGCTCGGGAAAAGTAAGCGCCGAGGCAGCGGAGGGAACCTCGGGGAACGAGACTCGGCTTCTTCAGGCGGGCGTTCTTCTCGTGCCTTTATTGTCTTGTGGGGAGTTGGGGCATCTGGAAGGGAAGAGGCTGAGATCGGGTGGCGGTGGGGGGGAGGAGGTGAAGAGTCTCCTCGGCGGGGGGATCTACGCCTTTCGCGATTCAGGCAGCGGGTCTCCAAGCAAAGGGCGGCGGGTGTGCAAAAAAAAAAAAAAACATGATGGAGGAAAGCATGCAAGCTCGCACCGTCCTTTTGTCTGGCGTGGCTGTCCGTCTGTTGCAAGTGGAAGGGTGAAAAGGCTTTGTCCAGACAAGGCGCGTTTGGTTGTCTTCTCCTTGGCCCGCCTTCGCTTTCTACCTTGCTTCTAGAGTTTCCAAGTTTGGCAAAAGCAGGAGGGTTTTAGTTAGGCGCGGGGTGGGCAGCGGCGCCGGGGGCGGGGGGCGGCGGAGAAACTCCACTGGGATTATAGAGCTCGCCATCCCCCAAATTCTTCCAGGAACCGGTGAAGAAAAAGGCCGCCCCTCCACTCCGGCCGCCGACTTGTAAACGGGGGGGATGCGGGACGCTTGGGGATGCCGGGCTGCCTTTGGAGAGAGAGGATGCGCCCAAGCGAAGTTGTATTTTGTGCCCTGCAGTGAGCGGCTCTCAACTTCTCTTTGAGCGGGATGGGGCGCGCTTGAAGAGGCAGGTCAGGAAGTGCTGCGCCTTCACTGCCGCGGGGTTCATCATTCCCTCTTAAGCAAAAGGGGGCTCAGTGTGTGTGTGGTGGGGGAAACCCTCTCATTAAGTCCTCTCTGGCCTATTTCCACCTCCTTCCCAGCGACTTTCCCTCCCCCCCAGCTACTTTTTGTTTTTTTAATCCTGTCTTTTTACAGGTTAGCTTTGTATGTCTACGAATACTTGCTGCACGTAGGAGCACAGAAATCAGCACAGACCTTTTTATCAGAGGTGAGTGACTTTGTTTACTTTTGACCCCTTTCCCTCCCCCCCCCCCAGATAGCCTTTGTTTTCAGAAAGCAGGCACAGTGGCCTCCATTTTGAATTTTTTATCACCTTTTGCCATTTATTGCTAGTTAGCCTCAGAGGCTCTTTTAGGAAGGGGTGGGGGGAGCAGCAAGAGTGGAAGGAAATGGCATCTTTTTCTTCAGGTCTGACCCAAACTCTCTCTTTATCCTTGGCTGTTCACAGATCCGATGGGAAAAAAACATCACACTAGGGGAACCTCCTGGGTTTTTACATTCATGGTGGTGGTGAGTGTTGCTTCTTTTACTTCTTGTGTTGAAAGTTCTTTATTTAACTAATTGGAAGTGTTGGGGGGTGGGGGGAGATTACCCCAAGCAAATGATTTTGTTTGAGTTTACATTTCAGTCTTAATCCAAACAAATAACTCTGGTTGTAAGCTTGTCTCTTCAGCCTAGAGAGCAGTTACTTGACAAAACTATTGAAGAGAATTTTGGGAACAAAATTGTAGGCTTTTTTTTGGAATTTCTTGTATTCTCCAAACTTGAAATCATGTTGTACAAATACACACACACACACACACACACACACACGCATATGGGCATGCATAGAAATAAATGAAGGTTTCTTATTGTGAAAAGGTTATTTAGTGGTGGTGTTTTAACAAGAACATGTGGAATATTTATGGATATAAAATGCATTGTTCTTAGCTTACCTTTTCATTGGGGACTAGCATTTTGTAGACGATACCTTTTCAGAAAGTTTAAATGGAAAAGGAAATCTGGTGACTAGGTTATCAGCTCCATTTTTTAAAATTTGCAATGTGTTGCAAATTTTCCTTAAAACTGGTTCCTAAATTATTGGACAGTGAGATTGTCCTTTCTGAGTATATAAGTATAGAGAGAGTACAGTAGACAAGTTCAGAGTGACTGAAGCAGTTATGCAACTTGTAGCATGATGCTGAACGTTAGAAATATTTCTAACCTCCTGATCTAGATTTTCTTTCTTGAATGTAAATCCTATGGATTCCAGAAAGAGTTCCTTTCATCTATTATAGTTATTAGAGTAATATATGGTAGTTATTCTTCTGTATGTTAGTGCTGTTACCAGAATATATACTTTGTCATGAGGCTGGCACCTGAAGTTCGGTTCTAAGAGCGGTAAACATTTGAGGGACGCATGTTGCTTCCATAGTCCAATTTTCTGATGATGCTTTGAATGGTGGAACATAACAGGGCCATATTAACCTCAGTTCACAGACTACTTTTTTGCATAGTTAACTATAGTTATGGAATTGGTCTCATTTTCTGAATTTTCATGATATATAAAGATGAAATGTGACCTGCTGGGGAACAGGAATAGCAAGATTTCATGAGGATCTCCTTTTGGTGTGTAACTGGGGGGAAAGACAGGCTAGGCTGTCAGTTGCTACATGTTGATGCTCTTGGGACTGTTTCCGAATTTGTTTCATATTTGGCTTTCTTGCAGAGCATTGTTTAACGCACTCATTATTGGGAATAGCTGAGTAGAAAATAAAGTCTTAGCACAAGGAATCTTTGGTACATGAAGGACAATAATACTGGAGTACTCAGGGCATTTTTTGACTTATTTGCTGGAAGACCAAAGTTATGTCTATAACCCACCTTTCTTTCAAGGACCTCCAGATGGCATACCTGGTTTTTCTTTCCTCCCTCTGCCCCCTTTGATAATTTTAAGATAGGTTAGACTGAGAAATAATAAGGATCCATGTGAGCTTAATGAATAACTGAGTATGTAAATTGAGCTGCTTAGTGCTAGTTATGTTCGTATTAGAGTATGTAAAGTTTTTTGTAAATTAGCATTTTTATTTAGTGGATGCATTCTGAATTTTATTATGTGGGTGGGGGGTCTTTATATTGGCAATGTTTACATGTGCCTGTTTCAAGACAGAAGGGGAATCAATGTTGTATTGCCTTTAACGTCAAACAGAAACAGCTGTAAGAGATTGCAGTCCAGTTTAGGAGACAGCTGCAGATGTGGAGTGGGACATGTTCACATTTAATAAAGTAATATGACAACTTGAATTGGCGGATACTTTATTTCCAGCAAGTGGGTGAATGAAAGCAAAATTCAATGATAGATCCATATACAAACTTATGCAATGAATTGACTGCAATGGGAAATACATCAGAATGGTCTAACTCTGGCACAGGGAATGTAACTTTGTAATATTGGAGGAAGGGAGAAGGAAAGCTTACAGAAAAGAAAAATTGCGACAGAGTTGATATGCTATTGAAGTGGGGAATCTTCTTTCCTATACATTAAAACCTTGTGTATGTAAATAGGCATCTTGTGTCTCTGTTGCTGAAGTTAAAAGTCTCAAGTGGGACTAAAGTGCTGTGTTCACTGCTCCTTGAGTAAAGATTGAACAAGATTGAGAAATGCCATTGTTCCTTAACCACAGGCTCATTTGGATAAACCACTATAGGTCTAGGAATCTATACTGTATAAGTATTAATAACTAGTCCTTCTTTTTCTTTTATAGTGTATTTTGGGACCTTTACTGTGCAGCTCCTGAAAGGCGAGATACTTGTGAACACTCAAGTGAAGCAAAAGCCTTTCATGATTACGTGAGTAAAAAAAGTTATCCCTCGGTTAATAAACTCCGATCGCTGCAGTTGTTCCAAAGCAAATGCAACTAGATACGGAGAGAAAAGGGTGTTACCCGTGCCATTCTGATGGTGCTTGAATATTGTTTTAGAATGACACAGTTATGTGAATCAGGTTCAGTGGCTTTTCTCGAAGACTTTTAAGGTGGAGCGTATTGATCTGTTTACAGAATCATGTGTCATAGGAGCACAGAGGATAAGGAGAGGGAAAGAGATGCTATTTATCATAAAGGAATCTAAGGTACAAACTTTTGACATAGAGGCCTGTATTTGAATGTGATACACTTCGTTCTTGGGAAAGATTTTAAAAAAAAACCTCTCCAAGGCTTGTGAGTATTTAAGAATTTATCAGAATGCTGCTGTGCAGTATAATCCTGTGCATTTTTTATCCATAAGTGAATCCTATTGTGTTAAGTGGGGCCATCCTCGCTATAGATGCATAGAATTGCAGCCTAAGGAGAGAGCCAGTAGCTTCTGTTCCCGATTGCAATATGAAGATATTTTTCCTCCTTTCCCTTAAGACTGCAATGCAGACTTCATTATTTCTTTAATTTTTAATAGGTGTGGGGATGACTACAAACTAGTGCAAAAGGAAACTTTCAAGAGACATAGGTGATGCATTCAGATATTGGCCCTAAGAGGCATACCTTGGTTTTCTTCTCTGTTGTCATCTGAAGCCATAAATGGTTTCTTACCTGGAATTAAATAATTAGTATTTGTGAGTTGACTGAAGATCCAGAAAGTGAACTTGTCTAGAGCAACATGTTTTCATAGCTCGAGGACAACACAGCATGGATTATCCTGTAGTATGGGGCATTCTTCCAAATGAATTGTCCTAGATAAACTTGTGACTTGTCATCTTATCTGATGTGTTGGTCTCTGGCTTACCTATAATGGCAAATATTCCCATGAACACGTCCAAGTGGTTAAGGGCTAAGTTTCAAAGAATCTTAAAGAAGATTCATCAACATGTTTAATAAGTTGAAGGAACAGAAAAGTCCTCAACTTACGGCCACAATTGAGCTCAACATTTATGTTACTAAGTGAGAGGTTTGTTAAGTGTGTTTAGCCCCGTTTTACGACTTTTCTTGACACGTTGAGTGAATCACTGCAGTTGTTAAATTAGTAACACAATTGTTAAAGTGACTTTGCTTGTCAGAAGGTTGCAAAAGGGACGCCAGAATGACCGTGGGACACTGCAACCGTCATAAATGTGAATCAGTTATCAAGCCGAATGTAAATCACGTGACCACGGGGATGCTGCAATGGTCGTTAAGTGTGAAAAATGATCATAAATCATTTTTTTCAATGCCATAACTTTGAAGAGTTACTAAGTGAGGACTATCTGTAGTGCAGTTCAAGAAATTGGGGGTTGTGGCAGGAATTGAGTTTGGTAACATAGCTGACGAACAGTTTCATTTAAAAAGTGGCACATACGTGGAAGGAGGACTCACAAGTTTCAGTCATTTTTGTGGCTGAGTTATAACGTAAGACTCCTGCAGAAACTGCTTTGCAATCTCTAGCAACAGCCATAGAATTTTCTTAATCCTATGGTTCTTTCTCCTTCTAACTCACCAAGAAAGGGCTTCTTGGAAAGAACTGCATAATTTGTAAACTTTCATGGCTGAAGTTGGAGAATAAACTTGCAGATTATTCAAAGTTATTTGCAGGAGCCCCCAATGATCATAGATGCCATGAGTTTTGGTATGCTTTCAGAGTTGAAAAAAGAACCCTTTGGGGGATAAATTCCACCCACTTTGATAGGTTTAATTTGATGCACGTACCTTGAGAATATCACTTTATCTCTTAGAAAATGTATGGATCTTTAGCCCAGGATCTTATTTTCTTTTTTTTTTCTGAAAAAAGTTCCTAGAGTGACTGTTGTATTCAATACAGAATAGCCTTAGAAGTTATTTTTCGATGCAGAAACAGTAGCTTTCATTTAAAAGAAGTGTGTGCACTGCAATGACATACTAATTAACAGGAGCGTCCTATTTTAAAATAAACAATGACACTCAACTTAGCCCTCAGACAGAGTCCTTTGAAAAATGTGCTGCAGTTTGCAACCTATGTTTCTCCCTCACAGAGAGAAATTCCCTGAAAGCAATTTCCTGAGAAGGGAAGAAGAAAGTGATTAAAAATGTATTTAGATACATTTATCTTGCTGTTTAGAGAAATACTGTCTCTTGAAGTGTCCCACCTCAGTCAAAAGTCAAGACGCAGGACCCAGAATGATTCATAAAAAAGACAATACCTGCTAAGGATGGGAAAATAGTGGGAAGAGGGAAATAAGTCTGAGAACCCAGAACAAAGTAGTGGATTTGTAAACCAATATATAACGTGTATCTGACTTTGACAGACATGATAGTCTATTAGCGATATTCTTTTTTTGAACAGAAGATGCTAGTAGGTTTCTGATCAATAATAGAAGACAAGAAAATCCTTTCCTACAGTTCTATAATTCTGGGGAAAACAATGCTGGAGCAGAGTGGCTGTTGTTATAGAGCTAGAGTGGCAGCTATGGCCCCTTTACAACTAGTGGACTTCAATGCCCAGAATTCCTGAGCCAGCATAGATGGTTCAGGAATGCTACGAGTTGAAGTCCACAGGTTGTCAAAGGGCCACAGTTGCCTATCCCTGCTCTAGAGGGCAACCCCATAGGTGCTTGAGACCTGATCTTATTGTCATGATTTTTCCTGACATGTTCAGCTTTGGAATAGTTGGCTCTGTTGCATAAGTACCAACAGTAGGAAAGAGATTTCAATCTGCACAGATCTTGGGAAATTAGAATAAATAGTGGTTCTTGTATGATAGGCAAAAAATATTAGTGTTGCTTTTTGAATTAAAAAAACAGGGACAAGCCTCTTCAGTTATGGCCACTTCACTTCTATTTCCTAACATCTGTTGTCTTCTTCTTCTTCTCCTTCTCCTTCTCCTTCTTCTCCTTCTTCTTCTCCATCATCAAAAAAAATTCTTTAGCTCTTTCTACCACACATAGGGACTAGGACTAGTTTGGTTGCTGGTTTTATTCAAGATCATCTGTTGATTGTAGATACTTTGGAGTTAAAGGCTATTCCACATGCAACATGACTTAATATATTTTTAAAAGAAAAAAAAAAGGCTTCTTGATTACTTGGGGAAAAAAAAAACAAGCCAGTATTCCCATAGGGAGTTTCTCGATTACGACCACTCAAATGACCTCTCAAATTTATGCAAACTTTTGCGTTCTCACAGCTCTTCACAGTTAAGATATTACAAGAACCAGTGAACGGGGGAAAAGAATTTTCTTAATATAATATTTAATTGTGGTTGTGGTAGGAAACCCAACAGGAGGCAAACTGAAGGGAGTTTTCTCTTGCATTCTGTGGCTCCAGAATTCGCAGCTGTTGGCCAGGTTGGCTAGGAATTTGACGATTATTATCTCAGCTTGCCTGGTGAACGTAACATTGGGGAAGGCTGGCATAAGGTATATAGAGTTGTAGCGCTGGCATGCAAAATTCAGTAATGCTACATTAGCAGCAGCCTTATAATAGTGTCTGAGGATTTACTGTATTTAGAGAAATTAATCTTTTTTAGCTTGGTAATAATTCTAATAATAGGCCAGAGTGTATTAGATGATTCACATAAACATCTTTAATACATGTTGCTTTAAGCTTACAGCAAATAGACTACAATCCTCATTGAGGTTTTTAAAATTCTCGGTGTAATACAGTTTCATAACATTTCTAAGTACTTTACCTTTTTGGGTTGATTAGTAGACTTTGTTTCCTGTTCTCATCCTTTCGCTATACTATTTGTTTTTAAAAGTCCTCTTGGTCACAAAATAGATGGTTATTATGTATTTTCATAACTAACTGTCTTGGCTTTGGTTATTGATATTTCAAGCAGTAAAGATGTTTCTACCACTCTCGAGAATTAATACTTTTCAACAAGCCATGTGTAGCTTGCTTGCCATTATATACCAACAGGAGTCTAGTGATGTGTAAGTTTATCTGGGCGTGCGCACTGATACACACACTTTCTCAAGCAAGGTACAATACAGGAGTATGTTAAGAACGTTGCCATATGGTTTATAGTTGCTGTGTCCACATAAAGGGCAGATAGGCCAACATATTTGAGTCAGTTCTGTTTTCATCTGCTGTAAATTATTTTCAGGATTATTCTGCTTTTACAGAAATAGTATTCCTTTAGCTTTGGAGGGTACAAAGATAAAAAGACAGTTTCTGGTGAATGGGAGGAGCAAGGTGAGATGTGTAATTCCAGGCTATTCTTCTTCTAGGAAAGGTGGATCAGGTTTCAACTGTGGATGGTTTTTGTCAGTGTGTGGCCAATCAGAATCTTGGATTACAGGTAGTCCTTGGTTTATGACCACAATTGAGCCCAACATTTCTGTTGATAAGTGAGACATTTGTTAAATGAGTTTTGCCCCACTTTACGACCTTTTTTGTCACCTTTATGAAGTGAATCACTGACATCGCTAAGTTGGTGACCTGGTTGTAAAATGAACCTGGCTTCCCCATTGGCTTTGCTTGTGAGAAGGTCTCAGAAAGTGATCGCATGACTTCCTGGGACACTGCAACCATCATAAATAGGAGTCAGTTGTCAAGAATTTTGATCATGTGACCAGGGAGATGCTGCCAAGGTCGTAAGTGTGAAATATGGTCATAAGTCACCTTTTCCAGCACAATTGTAACTTTGAATGGTGACTAAGCAAACTTATAAGTCTGTATACCTGTATAAGGTAAATTACTTATTTACCTGACATGTAGCTAGGATCTTTTTCTCCCTATTTGCTCTTCACCCGTAACACCATAAGATGGTAGGTAGAATAAGGGCTATGCATAGGCCTTCTGATTTATCGGTGAATGGAGATCCATTCAGGTTTCAAATTATATGAGAGAAGAGTTGATTGCATGATTTGGAATGACAGAAGGTGGGAATTTGAAAGGATGCATGATGTG